CATTTTTCATAAGGTACATAAACTTTTGTTATTGACTATATAGCCAATACACCCTTAAACTGTATTCAACCCCGTGAAATAAATAAACAAATACATAAAATATCGAAACAATTACTATTCCAAATGATCTGTGGAAAGTTCGATGGTTGAGATAGAAACATAGAAACACGTTAATAGAAATCCCCAGCGAGATAGCATCCCTCCTCCCTCCCTATTGGTAACATTATTATTACGTCTCCGCGAAATTTCCAGTAGACGACGAGGGCCCCGGTCTGCGGTTTCCAAGTGTCCAACTCGCAAACCAGTAGTAGTTAGCAGAAGCTGTTAAGGATACCGTGAACATTGAGTATCGCAACATCGATTGTCCTCGAATTCTATGCACAAGGAGTTCGAATTACCACTTGCAGCGCGAGCAGCTGAACACAGGGGATAATCAGAACAGCGGAATTGTCTTCGGCAACGAGTTCCCACGCCTTAGAAATAATTCCAAACTATACCTCCTCCTAACTAATTTATATCATAAAACACGTGCGAAATTAATTAATCTCTAATTCATATAAAAAAAAAACGCATTAGGTGATTAAAAAAAATGAAGTTCAAAATAGGGAATCGAGATATCGATTCCACGCGCGATACCGCCGGGTGTTTCCGGGCCTGGCCGCTCTCGCTTCGAGTACCTTCGACAACTTCGACAACGCTAATTACAGGATGACGAACTAACCGGTGGTCACACCGGGCTTCCATTTTCAGGCTTCGAGAAAATCGACCGCGAAGAGTACGGTTCAACTTTTTCCTTCTATTACACCCCCGCCCCCAACACCCTCTTTCGTCCACCCGCGACATTCATTTCCCTGCCCTCGAACCTGATCGTTCATCATCGTTCCGGATAATGGTTTCCAGGCTCCGCGATTGACCTATCGATAGGAACCGGTCACAGAGCTCGCGCGCGCGCGCGCGCGTACTCGATCGGAAAGCAGACGGTGTCCAGCGATTGTAAATCCGCTAAAAGGTAATTCGGTTGATTAGTTTTGGATGGAAACGATTCGGATCGGCGAAACTTTCTTGAATTCCGCGTGGTCCGTTATTCAAACTGATTCCGCATACCGTCTGATAAAACGTGATACCAGATAAAGAGAGAGAGAGAGGATATAAATGAGAGAGGAATAGAAACGATTTCCAATCGCGCATTGACACACGCTTGTACACGGTGGATAAAGAACGTTTTTCAATTATTGAAAGGAAGTCGAGGGAAGCCGGTTATTTTTTTTTTCACTCTTTCGTTTTTTTTCCCTCCCCCCAAACGGATTGCATACCCTGAAAACCGCTGTTTTTCCGAGCCGAGCCAACTCGTTTTTCTATCCCACTTCGTCGAGCTTTGTGAATTCTATTCCGCGGCACAATCAATCCTGCTTAAACACGAGCCTTCATTCTCACAGAGTGTAATCAACGCTAATCGCGGTTTTCCTCATTTGTAACATTTTTCTCATGCTCTCGCCTATTCCGGGGCTTCCGACGGGACTTGCGTGGTTGGACGAGCGTGAGCATCGACTGATGTAAGTAATCAATCATCATACCCGAGGTGAAATGTCTCGCGACGGTAAGCTAGAAAAATCGAGTCCACTCGAGTAGACAAAAGGCGAGGTGGGTGCGTGAGCTTTCTGACAATCGATGGTCGGCTGCAGTACTTTAACGTGATGGCACGGGAAAAGGGACAGGGACCGGTCCCGGGTGGGATAACAGTCAACCTCCCGACGACGTGACGCATCCCCATCGCGTGATGGTGCGAGTCTGAACCCTGCCCTCTTCCTTCACGTCTCTTCCTGATACGAGGAATTAGGGGACAGCGGTTCGCTGCGAAGACGACAGCAGATACGTCTCTGTTAGCAAGCCGGAGGGCTGACGGTCACGCGTGGCCCGTTGTCGCACGCCTCGCAAGACCGTCTCCTACTGGCTCTACGTGGTTTCGTACTGACGGACGTAGTATAAAGAAAAAAAACGTGCGATCGTGAAAAGTGCGATTCGATGAAGAAGAAAAATTGAGACGAGAGAAAAATGGGAACTGTAGGAGGGTTGCAAAGTCGAATAAAGGGGCAAATTTAGTTGAATGGATGAAAAAATATTTACTGTGATTTAGGTTATTTAACACTAAAAAGACTGAAACTTAGTATATACCTATATTGCCTAAAAGCAGTAAAAATGACTGCATTGT